TCTCAAAAGGAAAAGGTTTTGTTCGGCTATCTTCCACTCGTACCACTCCTGTTGTTCCATCATAGAGGCCTTTGACTAACCATATGAGACGTTGTGGAATGCCTTATTCCCTCATTGTTTCCCAGAGAGTGTTATGATAAACCGAATCAAAGGCTTTTGAGTAATCTACGAATAGCAGCACAGTTTTTCCTCATCATGCTTCTTAGCCACTTTCTGAATGGCATTCCTCACAGCCAAAATGGAATCACTTGTGCCATGGCCTTGAACGAAGCCGAATTGATCACCAGTGATGTGTGGCGAAATGAAGTGTTGGCGAAGGATCTCTAGAAAATATTTTGAGGCATGGCTTATGAGGCTTATGGTAGGGTGTTTTGGGCATTCCTGAGTGCAAACGACTTTTGGCAAAGTGACTATTTCTGACACTAGCCATCCTTCGGCTTTCTCATATTCTGGCACGAGGCCTTATCCCATTCACATGACACATAAATACTCCCAGATTTGAATATGCCGATGACGGCTAACGACAGGAAAATTCGCCGGTGACTCAAGACTGACTAGCTGGACGTCAAGGGAAGGAAGACAAAGCAGCTGAAAGATATTTAACTCGGCGTTAAATAATCATCATCTACAATGTGCTACCACAATGAGTTCAGAATTTTTTCTTTCTCTTTCATCTCCTTTTTCCTAATTCCCATTTTTTTTCATCGAGATGGATCATTTGAGAATCGACCTGTCTCTTCAGGGGGGGGGGGGGGGGGGAGTTAATAGCCTGGGAAGATGTGCTATCGGCACTGGACGCGGTCGTGAGGCAAGATACCTGGGAAAGGTTCGCCAGGATAATTGGATGTAGTTGAGTTTAATGGAACAGGGCGTGAATCGCGCACGGTCGACTGACATGACTCTAGACGGTGATAGAGTAAACTAGATCCATTTACAATTATCAGTATAGGCGTTGGGAGCGCATATATTTTTTACTCTTTGAGATCACCTACAACTCTTTAGCTATTTGAATGACCACGGCTATTATCGTTGATACTGGTAATACCAACACAACCATTACGGTTTCATTATCATTCCTAGATTTATCAACAATAAATAATCGTGTCATTACAACTGTTATATATCACCATACACTCACAGCTATACACACACGCGCGCGCGCGCGAATATACACAATGTTTGAAGTTTCTATCACTGCTAAGCAGCGGAAAAGGGTACTGGGAACAGGTGGGAAACAGAGAACCACATGAAGGAATTAGACACGTTCCCACGGTCTCCCGATGTCATCAGGATACCTCTTCGGACTGCACTTCTTCGGGTTGGTCGGTGATTGCGCCTTTCAACTTCTTCGCCTCTCTGTTTCACTGAATTCCGGAACGCTGAATTTAAAAGAAAATTCTCGTAGGTATTCCTTACGCCCTTTTCCCTCCACCGTGATGGTTTAGTAACCGCTAATATAAGTATATTAAATACAAGAAACATTTTGCTGTCTCCACATAGAGAAAATCCAAATCAACGCGATCCTCTCCAGTGCCCGCTTCTGTGACAGCTATCCACTTGATGTTCTTGTTATAAGACCAGTGTGGGAAGACCCTGGCAACCACCGTGGGTACGTGACCCCCGCCCCCCACGTATGGTCTTCACCTCTAACGGAGGCAGAGGTTGTTCAAACATCGGTTAAGCATGTGAAATATCAACAGTGAAGAAAGCTCAGGTTCTACATTTCTACGGTGCCCACGTCCAACGCGCATCCAGAAGGTGGTAGGCAAACATGGCGTGCAGGAATGTCAGGACATCGATTTGTTTTATGTGCTGTGAAACCACCATTTTCTGACCTCTGTCACCTCTGTCAGGGAATTCGAATTCTCCTTCTTCTTTGTAATGTAATTTTACGGAATCGTAAAATTACACCTACCTAATGCAATTTGGCATCAAAAAAGCGATTCGTGCCTACCCCGCAGATACCATGGTGTCAATAACCTTCGTCTGCACAAAAGAAATGGAGACTTGTGTGCTTTCGACCAACAGATCGAACTGAATTGTCTGCCATGCACACACATCACCTCGCGCACCGACAAATGGTGGCGCTGGCGCGGATGCACGCGACAAGCCTGTCGTCGTAAGCACGCTTTTCGGCATTCTCTCAGAGGGCTCGCGTATGCGCAAATTAATCGGTTCCAAGAAGCAATCCGCGAAATGGTAAACTAGCTTCTTGTTTTCTAGAGCGAAGACCGAAAATACGGGAATCGGCGAGGCTGCAAAGCTGAACATCAGAATACAAATGTTTCATCATTTTTTTGTCTTTCATACAGTTACTATACTGCCGTTACATTTGTTTTCCTGTTTTCATATTCATTCAGATATCTCAGCTTTGGGCTCACTGGGGTGGATTCTGAGCAGCCCAAGGAAAGCTCATATTATTTATATCATGCTATTGCGTGTTTCATCTAGTTTCAGGATATATAAACGGAGAGATCACACAAACACATACACACACACA